ATCGAACAAAAAGAGTGCAACGCATGCTTTAAAACCTAAGGTCTTCAAGCTGGAAGGTGCTTTAATTTTTCTAACCAGACATCTGCACACACATGTTAGTGTAATACGTAAATAAAAAGTGAGACGGTTATACCTTAGTAGTGATGGCGCTTCGAGCCTCGATATGCTTCAACTGCTCGCTTCGAGGACGCAGTACGGTCCTTTGCTCATTCACTCGGGTGCAACCGAGAATGTAGCTTGTGATTGCTACTTCGTTGTTTGCTTATCTTTTGGCTCCTTCAATGTTGAAGGTGTCGATGCCGGTGTCACATCGTGCACCGCAAACATCTCTCTTGTTGCATGTTGCTCCCCGTATACCATTTTTATTCCGTCCTTCGTTGGAAACTTCATCATTTGATGAAGGGTTGATGGTACTTCTCTCATGCACTGTATCCATGGCCTTCCGAGCAAGGCATTGTACCTTATGTCTCCTTCGATGACATGAAACTTTACATTTTGGGTTGTGTCGGCCACGTTAGCCGGGAGTGTGATCTCCCCTTTCGTTGTCTCGCTCGCCATGTTGAATTCGTTGAGAACTCGAGAGGTGGGCACGATCTGGTCGAGTAGTTCGAGCTGCTCCACCACCCTCGACCTGATAATATTGGCCGAGCTACCTGGATCCACAAGCACACGTTTAATTTGAAATGTATTTACAAGAAAATAAATTACCAATGCGTCGTTGTGAGACTGAGACAAGACCTCGATGTCTTCTTTGCTGAATGTGAGAGTGTCCTTGAGTATGTACCCTCGAGTTCGCTTTTTCCTGGTGATGGATATTTTTGTTCGTTTGACAATGGGTTCATATGGGATGTCGATTCCTCCAACAATCATGTGGATGACATGTTATGGCTCTTCTGTTTCATTTTTTCTGTTCGCCTCTCTTTCCCGGAATTGATTTTTGGCTCGGTCGCTGAGGAACTCTCGAAAGTGCCCTTTGTTGATTAGTTGGGCTATTTCTTCTCGGAGTTGTTTACAATCTTCGGTCCTATGACCATGTGTGCCGTGAAATTCGCACACCAGGTTAGGGTTCCTTTGCGACGTATCTGATAATATGGGTTTTGGCCACCTGGTGTCTTTGACTTTACCTATGGCTGATACGACGTCCGAAACGTCAATGTTAAAGTTGTACTAGATAATCGAGGTGCCTTCGTCGGTCCTGCATGTCTGTTGAATCCGGCTCTGCTCACGAGTCCTCGAGGATTCTGACCTCGATCTGCCCTTTTGGTCTTTTCGGGGTATGTTATGCCTTGGGGCATTTCTTCGATCTTCAGTGTACTATTGGTACCTTTCCTTATTTGGCCTTGGTTCCTTTGCCAGGTGCATGCTAGGATATACTGAGCCCGAGGGGGCTCCTAGTTGGTCATCCTCGACCCTAATCTTTGATTGATACCGGTTGTGGACATCCGCCCAAGTCACGGCGGGATATTCAACCAAGTTCTGCTTTAGCTGCTTCGAAGCTATCGAGCTTCGTTCTTTCAAACCTTGGGTGAAGGCCTGCACTGCCCCATCATCGGAGACTGGTGGTAATTCCATTCGCTCATTTTGAAAGCGAGATACAAACTCCCGTAGAATCTCGTTTTCTCTCTGTTTGATTTTGAAGACGTCGGATTTCCTTGTAGCAACCTTGATGGCACCGGCATGTGCCTTTATAAAAGAATCTGCCGGTATGGCAAATGAGTTTATCGAATTCGGGATAGGTTGTGATACCACATCATGTCTCCTTTTGAAAGTGTTTCTTCGAATTTTTTTAACAGGATGGATTCAATCTCGTTGTCCTTCAGGTCATTTCCCTTTACAGCACAAGTATAAGCAGTGATGTGCTCGTTAGGGTCCGAGGTTCCGTTGTACTTCGGGGGATCGGGCATTCTGAATTTCTTTGGGATGGGCTTTGGAGCAGCACTCGATGGGAATGGCTTTTGTACGAATTTCTTTGAATCTACATCCTTCAGAATTGGAGGAACTCCCGGGATCTGATCGACCCTTGAATTGTAGGCTCCACCTTTTTGTCATTGGCTTCTATCTTCTTTTCGCCCGATTCAATCCTCTTTGCGAGGTCCTCGAGCAGCTTTATAATAGCGGGGTCGGCTGCTGACCCGTTGTTGCTCAATTTTTCTGGTACCTGTTCGGCTCGAGGAGTCATTTTCGGTGTTGCTGTGCTTGGAGTTTTTTGGTGGCTTTGCAGTTGAGCAATCGCCAACTGTTGTGCCTGCAACATCTCAAAAATGACGTGAAGGCTAACCTCTTGTTCCTCCCGAACTGGGGTTCTCTGAGTTTCTTGTTGGTCTTCTTGGCGTATACTCCCGTTAGTGTGGGAACTTATATCGACGTGTTGGGCGTTGCGTGAGCCCACATCCACGGGGATTGGCTCTGGTGCGTCCTCAGGGTTTCGCAGGTACACCGGTGCCTGGAACAACTACACCATTCTCTCCATGGTCCTCAGGACCGTTGTTTTCATGTGCATTCACTGAGTTAGACATTTTGACCTGAAATCAAAGATTCTTGGACAAGAAAAAGTGTGAAGAATAACTTGTGTTTTCAATAAACCAACACGAAAACAATCACTATTATTTTTAGCCCTAGAGTGGGCGCCAAACTGTTTACCTAAAATGGTAATTACAATTAAATTTGATTTTGTGGTTCTTAAAATATGTGATTTATTTTAATGCTAGTTGTTAAGCGATAGATGCTAAGTGTGAGTCAGGAAAATGAGATAAGAGCTTGAGGACAGTGTATTATGCAGACCGAATGGGCGTGAATCGGGGTCTCGAGCTGGCCTATGCTGGGCCTCGAGGTCGGGCTGAAGTGTCAGACTGGGGATGGTTGTTGAAGAACTAATAGTTCTAAGGACTGTGATGATTGCTCTTTATGATCAATGATGAGTAATAAATGAAGAACAATCAATAAAACACAATAAATGTAAGCAATAAGATCAAAGGAGCGACAATAGAATATGTTTTAGTTGAAGAGCAGAGAATGTTATTGTTCTTTTAGTGATTATCATGTGTGTTACAAAATGATAAGGGTCCCCTTTATATATAGGAGAGGGAATCCTAACATAGTATATGTACATTTATTACAAAGATATGCGGTTGGTACAGCCATTTAATACCACGGTATGGACTTGTACTATTCTTGTAGATCTGGTCAGCTCTAACCACGTGCCTTGGGAATTTCCCGCTTGTCCATCATAGCCACCGATTTGCACTGCCCCGAGGTCGAACATAGGGAACCCTCGAACTGTGCCTCGAGCCTTCTAGAGACGGGCTATAGAGTGTCATAATGATCATAAAATCGGACTCTTCGATTTTAGCCTATACACTATTAGCCAACAATACCAAACATGTTATTAACATTCAGAAGTGCACCCAAAAATAATTGGTGAATTCCTTCTTTTGTTAAGTATGTCAATAACATTTTCTTAGAATAAATTGAGGAATTTTACATTTGTATTTTTGCAGTCTTAGCACTAATACCGATTCTTATTGCATAGTGAATGGCTTGTGGAGGTAAGCTTTCGGCTAATATGGTATCTTGAGTTGGCCGCACTGAGGCCACCTAATCACCAAGTTGACTCAGCACAAATATCCACGTGTCAGCTGGCCGTCCTTAGTTAGTACCCCTCGTACAAAATTTACTTACCTCTAATATTTATACCAATTCAAATAAATTTATTTTAGTTAGGTATAAATTAAGATTAGAATATATGCTAATTAACTTTGGTCAAGTGGAAATTATATATTAAAGACTTATGAAATGAATTGAACAACAAGTATAAGTAAAAAATTCCATTCTCGTACCATATGTGCACATTTATCTTAAGAACATTATGCCTAAATAATCAAAGACGTATTTGGAAACCAAACTTAAATCAACTTTGTCGTCTAAACGAGTCATTTTTGCATCCTAGATATAGATCCAATATAAGCGGTGTTTTGTTCTAATTTTGAAAAAGAGTTTTTGCAAAAAAAATAAAAATATTTTGTTGCGAAAAAAAAAAAAACTATGTATCAACCAATTGAGGTTTCTGCTTCATATTGAATTTTTTTTCCTAATAAGCAAAATTGTAACTTGGAATACAGATAGATTTGACAACAAAATGGACCATTCAACCCACCCCCTTGAAATAAGCATTTTGTGCATATTTTGTATGCATAGATTTGTCCTTCTTGTAAGATTGATCCCAACAAAAACCCAGTTGGCACATTTTATATAGTACAATGGATTAGGAGAATAAAATTAATATCATATTTCCAACCAACCCAATTGACACAATCTTGATTAAACAAATTGAATAACAACATAGAACAGATTCCTAAGGGACCCTTTTTTAGTATAGTATCTTTCTTTTTGAGGTGCCAGATTAAGGTTAGGCCCCTAACCTTCCCTTCTAGCCACCCCACGAAAATATTACAAACCATATTTAAAAAGCCCCTTTTTTTCATTTATACCTAAATATTCTTGTTTGTTGCATTTACCAATCATTACATCAAAGAGTCCAGCCTCTCTCATACAACTCATACTCCAAATCTTGGGCATTGCCAAGAAGATTAGCAATGCTAATTCTTGTTTAATATCCTCACTCCACCCCAAAACCCTGACTTTATTTCAGAGGTTCAATTATTATTTAGTTGTGAATAATTGTGATCTTCTCTATATTCTTTCGTGCAATATATGTCACATTAGGCTAGAGAAGATCAAGATTTTCATATTTTTGAAGAAATGAGGATGAAGAGGTCATTTGGCGATTGTTGATGGGGTCTAACAATATATGTCACGTCATCCCACTGATGTCTTGGCTATTATTGTTATTATTGTTATTGCCATCAAAAGTACGAGGATCAAATCATATATTAGATCGAGACTCATTAGATTCATTCATTCATGACTATGCAATCAAGAATATGACGAGACATTATACAGGTAAATTGTATAATATTCCCCTCCCTACAAATTTTTCTGGCATGGAAACTTCAATTGTTCGTTTTAGAAGTGCAAGTTTTTGGAGAAAAGGAGCCAATTTTAGCTTCTTCCACATCCCACCAAGTGTATTACCATGGCCTTTTGTTAAGAGATTTGACATCGTATATCAAAATCTTGGTAATTGGTCATCAAAATACTATGATGTTCCAAATTACACATTTATAACTCCTGTCATAGGCTTTTTAGCATATGATGCAAATAGAAGCGGAGAAAATTATGGAATGGTTGAGCTCAACATTATGGCAAATCACATTTTGGTTCATTTTCCACACATATATATGCCACAAGACCACAACAAGAATGTGGCAATGAAATGTGTTAGATTTGTCACAAATGGAAGCATAGAGTTCAGCAATGTAACGATGAATAACTCGTGTATATCGCGAGGACAAGGTCATTTCTCCATAGTTATTCCTTCATTGAAACCAGAGGAGGAGGAAAAGAAAAGATGGCAATGGAAATGGTGGGTAATAGGATTTGGAGTAGGAGTTGTTGGATTAATATGGTTGATTGTGATTGGAATTTTGGTATATAAATGTGTTAGGCTAAAAAAGAGGAAAAAAATGGAGAGACAATCTGAAAAAAGTGAGGCTTTGGACACAGTTTGGGTTGGGAATAGCAGAATGCCTTCTGCTTCAGGTATCAGAACTCAACCAGTTCTTGAAAATAGTTATGTTCCTTGATTCAATTTTCCTTTTTTCCCCCTTTGTTGTTTTCACTATTTCAATTTTTGTTCTTTCCATTTTAAGGTGTATATACATTCAGGTCTCATCAAATTCATTTATTATAGGAAACCAATGTAGTATGAATCATGAATATTGCTCACATTTCTCCCCCTAACCAGAATTCTCATGGATAGTTTCTTGAAATTTTACTTGAAATCATCTTAACCGGTAAAGTTCTTGTCATATGATCAGAAGGTCACGGGTTTGAAACGTGGAAACAGCCTCTTGCAGAAATACAGGATAAGGCTGCGTACGATAAAACCTTGTGATCCGGTCTTTCCTTCGATCTCGCGCATAGCGAGAATTTAGTGCACCGGACTATTTTTCTTTATCATCTTATATTTTTTTTTAGGAGCAGGGGAATAATTCAACCCCAAAATTAAATTCTGCTCCTACCCTCCAAATAAATGAATAAAATAAGAAGGCAAAGTGCTTTCTCTAAAGAAAACTATGCATAAAAGGTGAGATTCCTTTTGAGTGTACATACTGTCATTAGACTTTATAGTTGGTTGAAGATATTAATTTAATCCAACGAAGAAACTCCAAAATGATTAGAATGTACTAAAGCGAGATCATTAACTTATTATGCTTAAATAATACAATGCCATTTAAATATTAAGTTGACTGTTCTATGTGAAAGAAACATTCAGAGTCTATATAATTAGTGAAGTCACCTCATTAGGTTTTTATCTGTAGTTTTAGGCTAACATACTTGTTTGTTTCTGTTAAATACTAAATTTATTCTTGACAGGTAGAAGGCACAATTGCCTACAACTTTGTACTAAAACCAAAATTTTATACAATTTTTTGACATAAAGATCAGCACATCTGACCTTTTCTCCTCAAAATGTATGGGCCAGCCTTGAATTTTAGAATATCCTTCTTTTGAGCTGTCTGCTTGTTTGCTAAAAGTTTGATGTGTAAGCTAAGAATTTCCTAAATGATTATAGCATTTGAAATTGTTGTTTCTGATGTAAAGAGTAGTATTTTTTTTTTTTTTTTTTTTTTTTTTTTTTTTTTTTTTTTTTTGTGATGACCTCTTGATTAAGTTGAATTACAGTTTTAGAAGAAGAAAGGTTTTTTCTTTTTCTTCAAACATTTTGCAAAGTCCAGTCTCAAATTAAACAATACCTAATGATAAATTGACATCATATGGATTGAATTTTTTAAGAAAATTAGATTAGGATATGGATCACAGCTCATAAATTAAGTCTGTTTTCATGGGATGCAATTCAATAATCTTAATTTCAATTATCAAAGTCCTGTAAAGTTTTTTCCATTATCTGTCACATTTTAAAGATAAGTCATACTACTAGGCAAATCTTAAAAATTTAACAAAATACGTAATCATTAGATCAATTCAGCATTTAAAGGTTCTTTTAAGCTTGTAATGCTTACCAACTACTTTAAATCAGTAAAGCCAAACGGACTATCAGGTTATTAACTATCTATTATATGAACTTGATGCTAAAAATCAAAGCATCAAGAAATTTTCATTTCTTTGGCTGGTAATGACTCATGAGTCATGGTTTATCATTGCTACACACAAGAAACAATAGAGTCAACCTATAGGCTAGATATCACAAATGTGGTGAAGTGGAAAAGGAGGATCAAAATAAGAACCATTTAGAATGGCATGTACAGTGAGTTCGTTTGCTGCATCTGTAGTATGTATTCCATCCCAGCTTACATAATTTTGTGGATCTTCACAGGCATTGGCTGTCACTTTAGTTCCATTAACTTGTTTAGTTTGTCCACAGAATAAATGCTGGTTAAAATTGTAGTCACCACCTCCATATCCACAACATGCTTTAGTTCCATATTTTAGCCCTGCAAAAAAGAACAAAAAACAAAAAAACAAATTATCATTAGAATATTTGGCCTTTCAAGAGCACAACATGTACTATTCAGCATCTTAAAAAAGAAAGAAAAAAGAAAACAAGAACCATGAGAAGTAGGGTGTTGGAAGAGGTCCAAGAGCACAGCGTGAGAGTCCACGTATACTACATTTGCATCAGAAATTTCTTCTCTTGTTTTTGCCAATGCTGCTTTGAGCATATTGTTATAATCCACCACTGCATTATTGTATGATACTAAACAACCAAACTGGTCAATATCAGAAGTGTTATGAGGCAGCTCCACCAGAAATGCAGGGTAACATCCAATCGGTGCTAAATTTAGCACCCAAAATGTTCTCCCACCCAATGCATATATCTCCTGGCAAATAGAACAGAACCAACATCATATAGGCGTTTAGTTAGTTTGAGAACAAACTCATAATCAGATGTTTCCTCAACAACTATCTTCTTTTATTGAATGTCCCATCTCTCCGTTCAATGCTTTATCAAATAGCTAGCCAAACTTATTTTATAAGATCGTTAAACACTTGACATGATATTAGAGCCCGTTTGGATTGGCATATTTTAAGTGTTTTAAAGCCAAAATAGCTTTTTAGCCATTTTGTAGTGTTTGGATAAAGTAAAAAAGTGCTTTTAAGCACTTGTTTTTAAGCTAAAATGATAAAAATAAGCCAAAAGCCAAAAGCTAGAATTCCTAACTTATGGCTTTTGGCTTAAAAGTCACTTAAAACAAGCACATCCAAACGGGCTCTTAGAGCAGATAGAGGTCTTGATTCAAATCTCTCAGTCATTTATTTATCAAGGAGAGTTAGCATGTGCTTCATCTAGGAAAAGAGAGTCGGACCACATATTGAAGATATAATTAAGTAAATTAAAGTTTATTTATTCAATAAATTAAGTTTTTAAATAAGATGGTTACACAATTCAACAGATTAACTGTATTATTTGTCTGAAGTCAGAACTTGGGTTTGATCATAGCTAAATGCATTTTCACTTTATGCTCACCGGACTCACATTGGTGTTCCAAAAGAAAACGTAAAATAAAAAGAGAAAGGAAAGACGAGCGACTAAATATTCATCGGATGCTAGCTAGGAAATTGAAGGTCAAAGATCTTACCTTGATGGTGCTAACAATTTGAGAAATCAGTTGAGGTAGAAACTCTTTCACTCCAATTATTCCTATTCTTGCCAGATTTCCAGTGAAGTCATTTTGACCAATGTAGAATGTATAGAGCGACTTTCCAAATACGTCCGGGGAAGGCAGATTAGTTTGCCCTGAAAATTTTGGACATATTCGGTTATGGTTAACGATAAAAAGTAATATTCCTCGAAAATTTTGTAGAATGGAACACTAATGGTATACCTTTATGCTGAAGTTCATCGACTTTAACCTTAAATTCTTTCATTTGTCGAAGCTGAATCTCAAGAGAAAAAGGACTAACTCCAGTAACAAATAAAGAAGTTTGTGGCAAGCGCACTGTGGATGCCGCTGTTGCAAAATTTGCACCATGCCTGTAATCAGATCCTATTGATTGAAGATATGGACTCAAAAATGGCAAACCGAAGGCTTGAGCTGCACACGAGGAATGACTAGACTTTCAAAAAAAAAAATTACAGGTTTAAACAACAATGTAGGAGAGGCAGGATGAAGGACAGCTTTATGTGATCATCTTATCTAAAAGCAAAGGCGTATGTAGCCTATCAGTATCGGGTTCATCTGAACCCAGTTCGTTTGATGCGGAACATAAGTTTATATTTAAAAATTCACTAAAATTGCACCAAATAGTAAATATGAATCCATAACCTTAAAGATACAATAGTTTCAACATTAATAATGTTAAAGGTTGAACTCATGCAACTTAAATTCTGGATTCATCGGTCATCATCAGTGTTATAGTATGGTGGCAAGAATTAGGGACTAGAACACTCAATAAAAGGGCTAATAATGGTTAGGATAAGGATCTAGGACAGAACCTATATATTATTGACAAACAACAACTTCCGATGATAATCAGAACATGCATGGACCTATATTGCTGCTTTTTCCAGCAAAAGCTATTTCATTTATTTGTAAATGCAAACTCCTGTAATCTCGGTCCGAAAGTTTACAGGTCCTTAAAGACATGACACTAACACAGTACACTTCGTCTCCTTCATATTATCTATCCTTTATTTAATAGTCTAAATCATAATACTATTCGTAAAAACTATCCTTATCTCTCTGTTAAACGTCTGTCTTAATTAATTTGATTGAAACAGCAAGAGCATAAACTAGAACCGATGTTGGGAGCGATGTTTTTGTTAATCTAATTTTACAATGTTTAACGCTTATCATGGAACAAATAAAAACCATAATTGTAAGAAATCATGTTTTCCAAGATGGCAACATACTACAGCGACAGCCAACAAGCACGCATTACTAAAAATGTAGTTCAAGCATAGTCAATATGATCACTCCTTATTCGTCCGAAGAACAACAGAAGGCATCACTATAGTGTTAGTATATGTTGATGATATGTTAATTACAGGGGATAGCTTGAAACTGGTTGAGGAGAGAAAAGCTTCATCACAGCAGGCTTTTAAGATGAAAGACTTAGGGGAACTAAGATATTTTCTGGGATTGAGTTTGCGAAATCCAAGCAAGGGATTATCATGCACAAAGGCGGACTTAGGTATAAACTTGAAGGGTCACAGGAGCCCGTAAATTTCGGCAGAGATCTTGTATTTGTATATGTGTATACTTTGAAAATGGTTAATTTAAATCACTTGGCACCCTGAACACTAAAAGCCTTTAGGGGGTACTGGTTGAGCAGAATACTGCTGCCCCCGTCGCGTTAAAATCCTGGTTACGCCTCTGATCATGCATCAAAGGAAATATGCACAAATTATCTCAGAAGTAGGGCTAGTTGCACCCAAACCAATGGAAACTCCTATTGACATCAATGTCAAGATTACCTCAAAGATGTATGATATCACATTAGTACAGCAGGAAAAACACAAGAAGATCCTCTTACTGATCGAACCTCTTATCAAAGATTAATAGGTAAGCTCCTATACTTGACAGTTACTAGTCTTGACATCTCATTAAGTGTTCAAACACTAAGTTTACTTCAACCCAAAAAATAACATATGGAAGCTGATCTAAGAATTGTGAAATATGTGAAGAACCAGCCAAGTCAAGGAATACTATTATCCAGCAATTACAGCAATACAATTACTGCATACTGTGATGCAGACTAGGTAGCATGTCATCTTACCAGAAGATCTATTACAAGGTTCCCAATCAAAGTTGGTGACTACTTAGTTTCCTGGAAATTAAAGAAACAAACTATTGTATCCAAGAGCTAAACAAGGACTTGTGTCTACTAAATACATTCTCTATTAAAGACCAACCAGCAGATATTCTCACAAAGGGTTTAACAACATCAATATCTAACCTCCAAGCTAGGTGCTCTTAACATCTTCACCCCACCTAGTTTGAGGGAAGTGTTAAATGAAGCAAAGGCATTTTGGTCATTATATGTAATAGTCCAATTAGTCATCATGTACTGTTAGTTCAGCTTCTAATGTATTACTTGTTATCAGTGCTTCTTTCATCTTGTATCTTGCTATCTTAGTCTCAGTTTTCTAAATATCTTGTACTGTCATTACTTGATACAAGTGCTTTTTTCATCTTTTCTTTAGCTGAGGGTCTATCGAAAACAGCCTCTCTGCCCGTCCAGGCTGGGTAAGGCTGCGTACATCTCACCCTCTTCATACCCCACTTGTGGGAATACATTGGGTCATTGTAGAACTGTTAGTTCAGCTTGTATATATATACACTACATAAGTTTTTTACACCATCAGATTAATTTGATCAACAATTAAATAGTGCTCTTCATAGCAAGTTTGATATGCTAATCTAAAAAAATAGGTCGGTTAAGGAATGGAGAAGAATCATTTGACCTAGAAAATCAAGGATGACTCTGCCATCAGTTGCTCGGCCAACAGGTTTCTTGAAGTAGGTCATTCCATGGGGAGGACCCTGAGCTGGGAAAGCTGCCCAATAACCACCTGTATCAGTATTCGAATCTCCAAAGTTAAAGATTGCCTTAAATCCACAGTTTTTGCACTGTGTTGTATCCACCATAAATAAAATTGCTGCAAAAAAAACCCAAGTAATCACCGACCATAAACTCATTCTTACTAATGGCTTCATGTTTTCTAGTGCTTTTGTTTTGGACAGAATGGAGCTTGTTGTGCGATTCGCTGAAAGCACTGGTCTTTCCATATTTGTAGGTAGAGAAGCTGTGCACGTGGACAACAACTGGTCAAGCAATGAAGTTCATGTCAAAACATTGTTTGGTAATGTTTTCCGGTCATTAACGTGGACTTTAATTTGTTTTTCACTTTCTTTTTTCGCTTTTTCTGAATTATTTTATCAAATGGGACATAGAAATTTTAGAAAGTATATTTCTTATCAAGAAAATATGTAAAATTTTCAAAATATTTGCATAATGAAGTGGAAAAAAAGTTGTCCACAATCTTGAAATTTTTATCGTGTAATCCCCGCCACTTAAAAAGGAATAATAGGTTTTGGAATATAACGGTCAAACTATCTCATTTTCAGCCTTAATTCGTATATCAATTCCTTAATTTTTAATGAAAATAAATCCCACATATTCAAAAATTATATTATAAAACTACTTGAAATCATTATTGTACATAGTCAAGAGAAAAAAATCAGTATTTGATTCCCCAAATATTAGTAGTTTTGTACACAAAATTATGGAAATTAATGTACACCTATGAGACTTGTTTTTCATAGTTCCAAAGATATACAAAACTCAAATGAAAGATGTTAGTGTCATTATTTTATTGATGCATGTAAGTATTAATTCACAAATTATTGGAGATTTGATGTGGGAAAATGCATGAGATTTTTTCCTATATCAGCTTGGTTTTAGAGTGTAAGGGAAATGCAATGAACAATAAGATTGTATTCGTTGGATTTAGTTTAGAAAAGGGACAACGTGTATCAACGACTGTTTTTTTTTTTTTTCTACTACTAAAAACCATGACAGATTACAATGGTGAATATTTTTCCTTTGAGAAAACAATATTATTCACACGTCCGTTTTATGTGACATTATTAATCCATTTTAAAAAATGATGTATTTTTATATCTAAAAATAATTCAATTTAAAATCTGAGCTTTTATTGTTAAGGTTAGGTGGGAGAACAGTACAACTAAATACTAATTGATTCAGACACATCTATCTTGCAAAAGATTTTGTAAGGGTTTATGGAAATCTTTCACAAATATAATAGTACTTCCTCCCGTTCACAATAAGTGACCAATTTATTTTTTCAATTTGGTTCAAAATAAGTGTCCAGTTATGTAATTAAGAAAGAATTCAATTTGTTTTTACAAAATAACCCTTATGTACATATCCTTAAAAAGTTTTCTTACTCCTCACATTAAATGTTTAATTAGGGGTAGTTTAGTCATAGTAGGTATTTTTGTATAGAATTTAATATTTTTCTTAATGGGCGTGCTAAAAACAAATTGGTCACTTATTGTGAACCGGAGGAAGTAGTAAATAATAACACGCAGTTGGCCTTGACACTCAAATTAATTCAGATAGTCCACAAACAACTGGTGTTTTTTTTCTAGTAAATAACAATGAGAAATTTTCATAAAGCACTATCTTTTAGTAGTAATAGCCATCTATAGATACTATTTGCTATATTATGGAATATAGATACCTTTTATGTGGTTATAAGATGTATTTGATGTATTTAAGCTATTGTATTCATGAATACAGTGTAAGCACGTGATTTTTGCTTCACAAACAATCACTCCAAAAGGAAAACAAAAAAATAAAAATAGTGACAAATGACCCCGCGGTACAAATTTTTCATGACATGTATTGCTAGTCATTTGTGGGTCTGTCCATTTTGCATCTAGTCATTATCAAACAAAATACAAAAAAAATGTGTCGTTAAAAGAAAATTAAAAAAATATAAATATATGTGCGTCGTTCGTTCTAGGTTGTGATTTAACTTACTTTTTGTGATAATTATGTGGAAATGTTACAGTGTTGTTGATTTTAATTTCACTATTTTATTATTATCTCATTTTTGTTTAAAAGAAAAAAAAAACAACAAAAGAGTGAAAGAAAATCGGTTTGGACCCAAAAGAAATGAAACAAAAACAGGCCCAAACCAGCACTCAGACCCAGTCCAGGCCTGCCCAGGCACATCCTGAAACGACGCCGTTTCAGGCAAACTCATCTCAGTCGTTCCAATCGATCCAATCCAACGGTCCAGGATCACTATCAGTAACCCGTTTCAAAACCCGACCCAGGAACCAA